GGGGGGGTTGATTGGATAAAAAGTTTAAAAAAGAAAAGAATATTTTCGAAATTTGTAGTTGTTAAGCTCATGTTCACGTTGTCCACTCAAAAGTCCAATGACCTAATCTTATTCTCTTTTGATTTCTATTCTTATTTGGAATTGGATTCGGTTTTTTCTATTTTGAGTGGATTTTGGCTTTAAGAGAAAGCACCACTCATGAACTATAAATAGGACAACCTTGGAGAATTATTCTATGCTCATTGATACAAGTCTTTGAAGGACTTAAGTACATAAGAGTGGTTTTTGAGAGAGCTTTCGTCAAGAGAGAAGAGAGAAGAGAGAAGAAAAATATTTGTTTTGCTGCAGATTTTTATTCCGACCAGTCAACATGCAAATCACGTTTTCCAATTCATTAACCGTTGGATCGGGCTGCAATTTTGACTGAATGTTCGTAACATCTTGGTTTTGAATTTGAATGGTGGAGATCGGATTTGATGGCTCGTAGTATCCGATTTCGAGCATCAAACAGCAGCTTCATTTTTGTATTCTCCTCTTTCTTCAATTGATTAGTTGTTGCTCTTGTTACAGTTGTTGCTCCGTATTTGGCACTTGTTGTGTATCTAATTTGGAGAACTTTTGTAACTCTCTTATTGTTATAGTGGAGCTTTTTGGATCTTTGTGATCCAGTGGTTTTTACCTTCGATTTGAAGAGTTTTCCACGTTAAAATTTGGTGTTCTTTATCTTCTTTATTTTCGGGTTTGCCTCTTTTTCGTCATAACAGTAATATTAAGTATGGCATGGTAAACCAGTGTCTATAAAAGCGTATCATTAAAATAAAATATTTAATGTTTAATTATTTTTAGCATAAAAATACGTTATTCATTGTAGAATATATTAAAAACAAGTTCCACAATAAATAGAATAGAAGGAGTACTAATAATGAAGATAGAAATATGCAGTATATAGTACTTACAAGAATAATAGCTTTGATGTTGTCGTTAGTGATTGGAAATTGAAGGCCTCCCTCTTTCATAAGTCTTAGCAGTACATCAATTATACCTTCACCTCCGGATTCACCATCGCTCTTCGAAGTCTTCTTGTGCTCATTGATGATATTTTCAAGAATGGCATCTAATTCATTGTGTGTATTCATAACTTTAGCCTTCATTCCAGTGAGCACATGAAGAAACTTCAGTGAAGGGAATATATCAGCCACATCAAACCCTTCCATTAAGTTTGACACTTTTTTGACTAGTCGTACAAATTTGTCTTGCTCCTTGTATTCTTGTCCAAATGCTGATCTACATGTCATAGAGCTTGTGAATAGAGAAATTCTTTTTGTTACATTTACTGGCTTACCAGGAGATGATCGAAAAAATTCAATCATACGATGAACTTCATCTTGTCTAATTGAGTTGAATGACTTGACGTTTTTGGCACTGAGCAATTCCAAGAGACAAATTTTACGCATTTGTCTCCAGTAATTGCCATAAGGAGAAAAGACAATGTCCGTCCCATTATAACATACAATCTTGGCAGCAACAAGTAAAGGCCTATTTGCAAAAGCGAGGTCATGAGTTTTTAGTACTTCTTTTGCCATCTCAGGAGAACTAATAACAACTAGAGAAACTTCGCCTAGTTGAAGGTGCATAGTTGGTCCATATTTTTTGGCTAGATCTCTAAGGACATTATGTGGCAGTCCACCTAGCATATGAAGCATGCTTCCAAGAATAGGTAATTTCCATGGACCTGGAGGCAATCTTTTGGTTTGGCTATTGGAATTCTTCAATTTCTTAAATAAAAGGAGGAATGACACAAAAAGGAAAAGGGAAAAGAAGTTGAAGAACCGCATTTTTGGAGGGAATTAAAGGGGGGATTATTTGACTTGATAGGTTCTGCAAACTGTTGTTGCAAATATATGCTCTTTTATGAGCATTTCGTTTAGGCAAGAAATGGGATTTCTCTAAAAAAAAAAAAAAATGAGATATGCA